TTTAAGAATTCTATGGCTATATAATGTGCAAGTATGATTGCTTTGTCTAAAATGAACCCTGTGTAAACCTGCTGTCTAAACTGAACCCTGTGTAAACCTGCTGTCTAAACTGAACCCTGTGTAAACCTGTCTAAATTGAACCCTGTGTAAACCTGTCTAAACTGAACCCTATGTAAACCTGCTGTCTAAACTGAACCCTGTGTAAACCTGCTGTCTAAACTGAACCCTGTGTAAACAAGCTGTCTAAACTGAGCCCTGTGTAAACAAGCTGTCTAAACTGAGCCCTGTGTAAACAAGCTGTCTAAACTGAACCTTATTTAAACCTGTCTAAACTGAGCCGTGTAAACCTGCTGTATAAACTGAACCCTGTGTAAACCTGTCTAAACTGAACCCTTTGTAAACCTGCTGTCTAAACTGAACTCTGTGTAAACCTGCTGTCTAAACTGAGCCCTGTGTAAACCTGCTGTCTAAACTGAGCCCTGTGTAAACCTGCTGTCTAAACTGAGCCCTGTGTAAACCTGCTGTCTAAACTGAACCCGGTGTAAACCTGTCTAAACTGAGCCCTGCGTAAACCTGCTGTCTAAACTGAACCCTGTGTAAACCTGCTGTCTAAACTGAACCCTGTGTAAACCTGCTGTCTATACTGAGCCCTGTGTAAACCTGTCTAAACTGAGCCCTGTGTAAACCTGCTGTCTAAACTGAGCCCTGTGTAAACCTGCTGTCTAAACTGAGCCCTGTGTAAACCTGCTGTCTAAACTGAGCCCTGTGTAAACCTACTGTCTAAAACTGAGCCCTGTGTAAACAAGCTGTCTAAACTGAACCTTATTTAAACCTGTCTAAACTAAATCCTGTGTAAACCTGCTGTCTAAACTGAGCCCTGAGTAAACCTGTCTAAACTGAACCCTGTGTAAACCTGCTGTCTAAACTGAGCCCTGTGTAAACCTGTCTAAACTGAACCCTGTGTAAACCTGCTGTCTAAACTGAGCCCTGAGTAAACCTGTCTAAACTGAACCC